CCCTGGTGCAAGTACCTCATGGTAAGCGCACTCGAATACGAGGATTTTCTCCTTCAAGAGATATTCCTCTTGTCATTATTGAAGAACTTTGCCTACTGGGCAGAAATGTTTTTCAGTGTAAAGAAGGGGTCCTCAAAATGACCACCCGTACTTTCTCTGGGAACTTTCGAAATACTCCCAAAAGGAAACGTAGCTGTCCGGAGTTGGTCAATTGGCTCTGTGAGATGAATCACGAAGCACATTGACCTCCATGCAGTATCTCGTAGACATTTCAAGGAAATTGTCCAGCCAATCCAGTACAGCATTTAGGCAAATTTCTAAATTATACGTTCAGCACTGCTCCATTCAGACAATATTAATTTGTCATGACTCTCTTTCAACCGGCTCGGTGAAGAATGCCTACACTCCTGTAAGACAAAAGTGTTCTCTTCATTACTAACACCTTCTCGCTCTCAGTAGATCTCGTACTACCTGTGGACTCCGCGAGACGGCACTATTGCACTATGTATTCCTAGCCCAAAAACTCAAAAAAATTTTTCGCTGAAACGTTTCCTAAAGAAGTAATTCGATGGCTGATCACAAATGTGACATCCATTCCGAGCGCTGGCGTCATTTGGCGCCATTATGCGCCAATTTGGCGCCCACCACTTTTTTCACCAAAGTTGATGAAAACTTGCATATGGGGGTTAATTGAGGTCCTGATTACGAAATATCACACTGGTTTCAAGCGCTGGCGCCAAATGGAGCCAGCGCCAAAAAAAAAATGTTTTATTTGTAATCAGGACCTCAATTAACCCCTACACCCCCACATGCAAGTTTTCATCAACTCTGATGAAAGTTGATGAAAACTTGCATATGGGGGTTAATTGAGGTCCTGATTACGAATATCACACTGGCTTCAAGCGCTGGCGCCAAATGGAGCCAGCGCCAAAAATAAATGTTGGATTCGTAATCAGGACCTCAATTAACCCCCATATGCAAGTTTTCATCAACTTTGGTGAAAAAAGTGGTGGGCGCCAAATTGGCGCATAATGGCGCCAAATGACGCCAGCGCTCGAAACGGATGTTATATTCGTGATCAGCGCATCGATTGCCCATCGAATTACATCTATAGGCCAAGTTTCAGCGCAAAAAATTTTTTTGCCTTTTTTGGTTCAGGAATAGTTCAATAGTGCCCCAGGGCCCTCACTGTCATCAGGTCGAACACATCTGTGAAGCTGTGGATCAGCAAACTAACTGGGTACTTGGAGCTGCCACTTCCGCACGGTATGGCCCATTATCACAATGGACAGGGGTTGAGATCACCACTTACTAGGCCACCAGCAAATGTAGCTCAACAGAGTTGTATGAGTTGCCGTGATCGCAGCTGCAATTTCGCCTTGAACGATAGGAAGCTGGAGTCTTAAAATCTCGTGAAATCTCTTGAAATATGATGAGTGTGATTTTAGCTGTGCGGCCTGTGCTGTTATATTGGATGTCCGCCCATCCCCGAAAGCATCGCTCGGAAGTTGGCATTTCACCCACCGAAAAAAGGCGTATCGTACACTGTACATCTTGTATCGGATCCTAACAAGAACATCAAAGGAGCGAATGAGGTGATTCAGGTCCACGTTTCCATTCTAAAAGTATGTCTCCAAAGGTACCTTTGCAGCTGGAAGGGCGCGAATTCGTCATAACACCGACTCCTTTAGAAATGACTACGGTATTCGACTACGAGAGATTGTTGACACGGATCAAGGTATCTTTCCATGGGGAGTGACAAGAGAATCGTATCTCGCCGCGCGAGTGGGCGTCGCGTGCGACGTCGCGCCCGCAAATGACGATGGTTCTAGGTAGTAGATGGCGACAACAGGCTATTCAGAACAGAAAATTGTCATGAATGCCTATGATGACGGGGTCTATATGTCCGATGCTGTCTATATGTCTCAACAGGTCAACACGAGTTTAGAAGACGCTGCGCCCATAGCCGCGTGTTACGGAATGGAAAATTACGATTCTCTTGCCCGTCTCCCCTCTCCACGAAAACAAAATTAGAGTGAAATCAAATCAAAATTGGAAATGGAACTCAAAACATGAGCGAAACCGTAACCGTAACCTCCAGTAGTTTGAGAACGAGCATCTGCAAGCTTCTCCTACTAATTGCTCCGGCCTGAGATCACCAGCGCAGGGCTATTTTGAAGTCTGCAGGGTGTAGGTGCAAGTTTTGCGTGACAGTGACCATAGGCTCTACGAGCGATGACAACATGGGGCTGTTTTTGTGGCCTGATCACTCACCATGCCAATACCAGGTTCTCCGGGAAGTTTTGAGGAGTATTCGCTTTTTCAGTATAAAGTAGCGCAGCGAGCGAACGCAACAATGTAAAAGCGTACATCGAATGCAGAAACATTCTTGGAGTGGCGCGGTTATTCTATTGTGTCCGTTAGGTTGAGGTAATACTAAGTGAAATATCAACGGAGTGCCATCTTATTGCCAACGCCTCGCTGGCCGTGGAGGCGGTTGGGCGCCCCTGGCTGTGCCGGAGTGTTCAGTGAAAGTCAGATAATCTCGTGAGGAAGGAGGAGTTCGCGCGATGCTCCACCAACGCCGATAGGATTCTCTTCTTAGTGGGATCTTCATCAGGGTTTCGCTATGGAAGTTGATATCACGTGCACCTGTACTTCTTAGGCTGCGCTATACTTTGCGGCCCAGCTTAGTGTTAGCGCTCTCAGCGTTACGTCAGCGGTCACTGCGGGGAGAGGGCGGATATCGATTCGTATGTGCGGGCGTTGCAGCGTCACCAGGGCGAACGCGGTAGCGTAGGGGCGGCCAGGCGTACCAGCGGTGCTGGCTCGCAGCGTCTAAGGATAAGTAGTCTATTGCGCGAAGATACGGGCAATCGATTGTTATCTCTCTCAGTGAGATCGGTATGTGGGCATATCGTGTATTGTAGAGACTGAGGGCGAGTGAGAGACGCGCAATCGATGTGTTTTGTACCCTCCAGCTCTCCCATAGTCTCTACTCCCCTGCCGCTGCAAACGCTAGCAAAACGCTGGTGAAACGCTGGAGAAACGCTGGCGTACGCTAGCGTTACGCTGGTGACGCTAGATCGATATCCATCCTCTCCCCGGCACTGCCGCTGGCGTACGCTGGAAGCGCTACGCTACGCTGCCGCAAAGTATAAACGCAGCCTTACCCTTTTATTGTTGCTACTAACAATAAGTGGTAAATGAAGTGATTGGAATTCTCAAACTTTGTGGACTCCCTATCAATTGAAAAAAGAGTAGACAGACTGAACGGAGTATGCTACACTTAATATCACCGCAATTGTCGGGTCGCAATCAGCGGTTCTCACTGCGGCGTTTCCATCATTGGTTGTTTCCTTCCTAAATCGATCTCTACCCGATCGCCATTGGTAGAGCAAGGGAGCCGAACGCGGACTCGAACCGCGCTGCTCATGCCGCCTCCGACAGTCCGCAATGATAAGGACTGTATTTCATCAGAATTACGAAGGGATTTAGAGGCGCTGCAGCCTCCAACCTAGAACCCCAACATTTGCCTTCTATATGGTCCCTCGGAAAGCGCTGTCACTTTTACTCTTACAAGTTCAAGGACTCGGGTGATTGGAGACCTGCAATGTTGGGCTACGACAGACCACTAGATGAGCACAGCTTCGGCTTAGAAAATGTAAGTCAAATGCTGCTGCTTTTGCTGGTACTAGAGACTGGCTGCGTTTTAATGGGAACTTTGTAAGCGGAAGCGAAAATTCCCTCAAAACAAAACTGATAGCTCAATGAATATGTAGATTCAGTGCAGCTCG